GGTGCGTGTGTGTGGTCGCACAAAGGTGCGTGCTGCCGCACAAAGGTGTGTGCGGCCGTACACAGGGGTGTGCGGTCGTACACCCTTCATGTTTGTGCCCAAAATGCCTACTTTGAGGTGCAACAAGGCTAGGGTCATGTCCAACTCAAAGATAGGGGTTAAACTCTCACTTTGGAGAGCCTTTAAGGAGTGTACGACCCACCTTATGAAGGTGTACGGCCGTACTCTCTTCAATACATGAAGAACATGACGAATCTTGTAGCATTAAGGCTTAGATAGAGTGGTCTTTCATGGTTTGCAAGTTAGAGGATGAATTACTCACGTTTCTTGAAGCTTTGGAGGGTTCACGGTTGAAGAAGCTTGAGAGAATGGTATAGTGTGCGGCAAAGGAGTGAAAAGAATGAAAGGAAAGGGGTCTACCCTTTATATAAGAGTAGGTGTGCTGCCATGAGGGGTATGTACGGCCGTACACCCATGTGTGCGGCCGCACACTCCTCCAAAAGGGGTGTATGGCCCGGTTTTGTCACTATACGACTTGTTGACTCATTCCTAACCTCATCCTTGACTGTACCCAATTTAGAACACTTAAATGAACCCTTAAACCGTGCTAGAAGTTAACAGAACAAGTTTAACATTGATTGAATCGAATAGATGCACAAGGAAGAAGTTCCGGGTTGTCACACCTTGCTATTTGACATTTCCCCTTAGATACATTCACTGAAAACCTCCTTAAAACATCTTCTTTCATCTCATCCAATGTCATTTTGGAATTCCTGATGACATCTTGCAAGTAGTGCTTAGGTAACCAGTTAGAAGTAACTAAGCTACCAAAGTTGTAATTCCTAGCATAAAAATTAGTCTTAACAATAGATTTAATTTGGAATGTCTTTCATTATACTTCCAAGCAACTGCTACCCTAAAAAGACATGGCTTTTTATCACTAGAAATTGTTGCCACACCTAGCAATTACCCTAAGTCTATCACTCTTCTCAAAGTAAATACCATAACCATTATGGACTACATAATTTTGTTAATGCAAACCTAAGTTGAGCAGGGGACTCATAACATTCACCCAATTCAAGTCTCATTTCGCTCCAAAGTTGGTTTGGATCATGGAACCTAAAATCTACACCAATTTCTTCATCATTTACCTCTGGTATGTGGCCATGCTCAACTTCATTTACACCAAGTTGATTATTATCATCCCCCGACCCGTCTATACCCCTCTTTGTCACACCCCCGGACCAGACGGCGGAAACGTCCGGAGGCGGGTGACTTCATTGTGCAGTATCATAACAAATGAATATAAATGAAACATAGCAAATCCAAACATCATACATTAATATTAAACTTACATTGTTTACAATACTTGTTCTGTTCAAAAGTTAAACACGAAATAACAAAGGTAGAAATAGCATAATGCAGCGACGCCAGTCCTCGATCGTGGTGATTACCTGCTTACTAGATCCCTGAGAATACAAGTCGTTTTGAAAAGCGTCAACTAAAAAGTTGGTGAGGTCATAAGCATTTTTGTATAAAAATAGTTTTACACTTGTTTAGAATTGTTCTCGTTGTACTTTCAGAAAATCCGATATTTGCTATAAAATCGTTTGGAGTCTCGTTCGGAAATCATGGATATATGCATGTCATTACCTTTTATTCATCTTTATAAAGAGTGATTTTTGGAAAGTACTATAAATTATAAATGCAAGCTGTAATTGAGAATAGTTATTTTGAGTAGTAATAACAAATAGTTTCCAGAAAATCCCATGTTTTCTAAAAAGAATATAGTTGTAAGTCTTGTTTTCTTATCAGGTATAGTTGGGTGTGTGTTTTAGTTTATCGTTTTCGAAATCGTATAAAATCGTTCACTCTAGAAAATCCTATATTTCTGATGTATAAAATGGTGGTCTTAAAACCCTAAGACTGGTGTGGTAAAAGCTTCGTTTATAGTATCCAAAACAATAGTTGTTTATAATCGAAAGGTGTAACTTGAGTAAATTTCTAAAATCATATTGTTATATTCTAAGTGAGTCGTTATAACCATACTAATATGACGGAGTGCCTGTCTGGACGTTCTTCAGGCGTCGGATTCGATTAAGACATTTGTCACCCTAGACTGGCCGGTCTAGCTGTAGCGAACAACGAAGGTGCGGGGTGTCAACCCCGTATAGATCTATACACAAATTCCCGCTCTCCCTCCTGGAGACTCTGGTTATAACTTTTACAGGACTTTAAACGTACACTAATATATATATATATATATATATATATATATATATATATATATATATATATATATATATATAGGTACAGTGAAGATGCGTCTGACTAGAATACTAACAGATATTTGAGCAAATCGTTGAAATCCATTATTTAATAAATAAATAACAATAGTTGTACTCGTTGACTAGATCTATCGTTTTTGTTTGTTGAAAATAATCCACTTTGAATCATAATTATAAAAAATGACCCGATATTATCGGTATTGGAAAAAATGGCCCTTCTTTTTATAAATTATCAAATAAGACCCATATTTATCAAAAGGTGTCATAAGTGGTTCAAAACTAGGTGAATTGATAAAAATGACCCATTTCTTCTAAAATGCTCATTTTAGACTTATATTTATGAGAATATTCAAAAGGCCCTTGTTTATCCAAAAATTCAATTTTTGGTCCTTTAGAAATTGAGATGTTCGATAATTACTCAAATTTATTCTATGTTCCAAAAATGATTTATATCTATTTATATGGCCGAAAATAGCCCAAGATATCAATATTTTCATAAATTAATATCTTCAAAATATTAGTTCCAACCTTTTGTTTAAACAATTTCCTTGAGCAATCCTTGTGATTTTTGATATAAGGTTTTATGAGTGATAAATCATATAGATACTAGTTTTTTATTTCTAATCTACACTAATCAGTGAAATATAGTCCAAACTTTTGGGACTTAACCACAATCTCGAATTTTTGGACTTCTATAGAGAGTTTCATGATCATAAACACATACATCACAACATACAACTATAGACAAGCAATTATACAATGATTTCACAAGACCCTTGACTTGTATCCTCCCCCGAAAACAATGAAAACTCAAAAGATAGGGGTATGAAGCTCACCTTGATTTGATTTTGGTGAATGATTTGGCTAGATGTAGAGGAGTGTTCAAATCCTAACGCTTGAAGAGTTTGACAACTCTTGGAAACTTAGTATCTCCCAGGAACATCAACACACAATATCTTGTGTAACCATGATGAAATAAATAAGATAATATGTAGAATCACTAGCCAAATATGAGTTACTTACTAGGATTTAGGAATTTGCTTTGAAGAATTAAAACTTGGAGCTTGAATACGTTTGAGAGAATTTTTTGAGTTCACAGAATGTGAATATGATAAATGGGATACAATGAGGAGTGATTTACGCCCATAAAGGAAAAAGAGGGAATGGTTTACGTTCCTTGATAAGAGTGTGGGGTTGATATGATGCTTGCTTGGAGGACTGTTGGATAATTCATAAAGATTCGAGATTGCATGGGAGAATGGACAAATACAACTCATAATCCGTAAACACTTAAAATATCTAAGTGTTCACGGCCTAGTATGCTTCCTAGGGAAGTGTTCATGGTCAAGTTTGGAGTCTTTATGGAGTTTACGGTCTAGGTGTTGCCTAGGATTGTGTTTACGCCCCAAGGTGCTTTTCCCTTTGAGTTCACGGACAAGATACTACCTAGAGAAGGGTTCACGGCCAACCTAGGCTTCTTAGGGTAGTTCACGGCCAAAGGTGGTCCACTAAGGGGGGGTTTACGCCCAAAACACCTCCTAGGAAGGTGTTCACGGCCAAAGGTGCTTCCTTAAAGATGTTCACGGTTTTGGATGGGTCCTAGGAAGGTTTTTATGGTCTTACTCAATAGTAAATACAATTATGTTGTCCTTATAATTTAATTGCTCAAGATTGTGACACAATTACAAGTTCTTGTGTCTACACCATGTGATCCTTGTGTTGATTGCATTGTAAATTGAATCCCAAATTATTTATCCCACTTTGTCTTGCTTAACTTGTTTACTTTTCCAAAAGGTTACCTTATATGTGACTTTCAAAGTGTATACTTCCTTATACATGCACTTATGCTCCCATGGCTTTCAAGGTTCTCATTGTAATAGGGTTACAATTTAGACCTTGTTTGATCCAAATATTTCGGGTTGTCACACTCTTTAACATATTTTCATCACACAAAAAGTTAAGAAAAGGGTCGTTACAGAGGTTGGATGGTGGTTTGAAGGTTTCTTATGAAAAATCCAAGAAACTGAAGTAAAAAATTTCATCATCTGAGTCTGAGTCTTCAACGTATACCTTCTTAGGTCCTTTGCCTTTCTCATTCTTAGTACCAGTTTTAGGTCGTTGCTCTTTGTGTTTCTTAGTACCAGAAACATAGGCCACTTACTAAATGTGCAATAAAGAACTTGTTACTGATAATGACATGAGGAAAAAACCCACATACACTACACACAATTTCATGTTTGGACCTACGTACCTTGCACTTGCAGTGTGCCTCAACAATAATTTCCCGTGTGAAAATGTTGATTCTTCACAATCCCTTTTCAAACCCCTCTTCCCAAACGATTTGTATGCATGAAAACCCTTTTCGAGTTCTGAAAGATGATCAGGTAAGGAGAAAAAGGTGATGGATGGGTGTTTCAAGGTAAGAGGTGACCGGCTAAGGCAGGTTACCGTTTGTTAACCGGCTATTAGTCTTAAGTCGATAACTCAACGACACAAAAATGGCCACAGTGACCGAAAATTAAATTATAGGGTTTTCTCCAATTTAATGACAAAATGTTAGGACTTTTATGGTATTTGCCATTTCCAAAATGATTTAAGTTTTGCTTAATCTTAAAAGAACTATAAATTCCAATTAATAATTTATTATTATTATTATTATTTTGATTAAAATATAAATTGGAAAATAACCCGGATTTGGGGACTTACTGCTACTGTATCAAGTTCCGGTGGCCGAACGAGCAGGGATCACAGTTCAGCGTCGGAGCTGGAGCTAATCGCAGAGAGCAGTGGCATATTAGACGATTAACAGCGTGAGTTCTTCACACCAAACTGAAAGAAAAAAATAATAATTCAAGTATTCGTTAAATTTCTGAATTAGGGCTTGCAGTTGAACCATCCATCAATAATCAAGACACGTAAGTTCTTTATGTTCGTGGATTTTCCGGCTTTTACCGATTGCATTGCTGTGATCTACATCTTTTCTTGTACAGATTATAATCCCTATGCGTTCTGAAGACTATTAGCTTTAAAAATGGCTTTCGTTAATGTGATCAATTGTTGCCTCGATTCCATCAGAGAAGTAAGCTCTCTTGGCCTTCAATAGTCGCTCCCTTCTATCTTTATCTGCATATATTTCGTTAATATGATCAATAATGAACCAGTTATCTTCTTACTATTTGCTTTTTAGCCCATCTGTTTTCTCACTGTAATATCATTATTCCTGTGCTACCAAAGTTTCACTCATTGGGCCTAATGCCGATGTCTCAAGACTCAAACAGTATTCCCATGTAGAATTTTGTGAAATGCTTTTTGGAATTGTGTTTGCTTTAGAAGCAGTATTATAACTGCACACTAGGCTAAAGATGTTACAGATAATATAGATTATAATGAATATATCCATTCTGCAAAGCTTAAGTAAAGAATTATATTGCTCAAAATTTTCCATCTTTTCTAAATATCTTGTTTGTGATTTCTTTCTTGTGCTGTTCAGTTATCTGAGGAACTTAAAGGTGCAGTAGTTTATTTGGATGCGGGATGTACAGAAAGTTTCAAGTTTCTTGGGGCATTCCCTGTTCTATTGGAGATGGGTGTACTTTCTGTTTGCAGCTTGGAGAGCATGTCTTCTCTTGACATGGTAAGTATGATTTGTCTTATATTTCACATTGTAAGAAATGAACACTTCATTATATTCTAGGGTTAAATGCAAGAAATAGCAACTTTCATTGTACTATAAACAATCTATTCTATCCAATTACAGTAGGCTATGGTGCTAATGCCCTGACTAATGTTGGAACTAATGTATGAAACAAGTTAAAATGAAGTGGGGACTATGATTAGTTTCACTCTTATCATGCTTTCTTTTCCTTCTCTTTCTTCATTATGGTAATACTTTTGGACATGAAGAATAATTCCATGACTCTTTTTGCTTTCTGTTTTTAGGCGATTGATTGGAATCAGAAGAATGATGACCTCACAAAAGTAGTATTCTTCACTTGTCGCCTTCTAAGTGATGCACATCGATACATTTTACGCTGTCTAACCACACTTCAATGTGTTTCCCAGTGCACTATATACATATCTATCTCAGAGGTGCTATTCTGTCATTATATCTTTCCTTGCTATTGTAATTATTTGAACTTATTGATGCTTTGCTTTGATAAAGACGTGAATGCCCTCCTCACCAGAATTCCATCCAACTAAGCAAACCCTTAAGTTTCTTTCTTCAAAGATCCCAAATATTAGATTATTCACAACTTTTGATAACTTCACCTGATCATCATCCTTTCTGATTTTATTTCTTATTCTTGAATGGACTTCAAATTTCAATTTTTTCTCTTGCTATTGCAGACAGGTCACTCAGCTTACCCGGATTCACCTTTAGGACCAGATGCTTATCATGAATATCAAATCTTACTTGTCCAAGATTACGAGGAACTCAAGAAGAAAAACAATCAAAACTCTATACACAAAAATAGCAACAAACCTAAGGAGAATCCCATCTTTGAAGATGAAGGGTGGTTGCAGCTTACCCCCCGTGAATCTGATACCCCTAAATCCCAACCTTTTCCACTTCTAAAGATTCTTATGATGGAGGACCTAAATTGATGGCTTATGTTCATCACTTCCCTTTGATTCTATGCCCCTTTTCACCAAAGTTCTTTGTGCTACCATCTGAAGGGTCAATTTCTGAGGCGTATTTATCAGGTGATCAAGAGAATTCAATTAGTTCAGGGTTGCCTCCTTTAAGTACTGGGACTTCTCATGATGGTGAGGATATACCTCCTGGGGTTGCTCTTACTGCTCAATTTCTGTATCATTTGACAACAAAGGTAATGAGTTATTATACACTTTTGATTTCATACGTTTGTTGGGCTAGTTGGATTTCTAATTTCTATAGTAAAATTGTTACAGTATATTATAAATTTCATCATCATGATTCATGACTTTAACATTTGTTTCCAAAATCTGTAGATGGACCTAAAACTGGAAATCTTTTCGCTTGGTGATTTATCAAGAAGTGTCGGGAAGCTTATAACTGACATGTCTAGTCTTTACGATGTTGGGCGTCGTAAAAAACCCGCAGGGTTATTACTCATTGACCGAACAGTTGACCTTCTTACCCCTTGTTGCCATGGAGACACCCTCATTGACCGGATATTTTCATCCATCCCCCCGTAGGACCCGCACACCCTCCGGTCCAAAGGGTACCCGTTCCCGACCCACAAACCTACTCCGCTCCCCTCTCGATCTTCAAATACCACTAACCGAAATCCTTCAAGAAATCCCACCAAAAGACCTTCATCTTCTACAAACAATCGAACCTTTTTTACAGGGTTGGAGTAATACCAATCAACTTTCCGGGAATCTTTGTTCTTCAGAAATCGAGTTGCTTTCCGGGTCTTTAATCTCAACCGAAAATTTCAACGGGACACCGTTTCTTGAATCGATTCTTGATAAAAGAACAAAAGAAGGGACCACATTAATCAAGAAATGGCTTCAGGAAACAATCCGTAAAGAAAAGATCTCTGTAAACACAAAAATTCCCCCGGGATTCGAACGTTTGATTAAATCTTTATCCAAAAAACGAATCGTCTTTCACGCGAAATAAAGGGATTATCCAGCTGGCGGCCGCCACGTCACACGCGATGACCGAAAAAAACCGCGCCAAATGGGATTCCTTTATTAGCGCGGAAAAAATCCTCGCGATAAACGCCACAGACACCACCCAAAACCTTTCATCACAGATGTGCGATATAATCAACAAAAGTTTGACCCGAGAACCCGAATCTTTATTTTCAATTGAAGACGCGTTGTTGTTAACAATAACTGGATATATTTTGGCTGGTGAAAATTTCCCGACTTCGAGTTCAACAGGCCCGTTTTCTTGGCAAGAAGAACATTTTTTAAAAGAAGCTATTGTGGATGCGATTCTTGAGAATCCTGAACTTGGAAAATTTAAGTTTCTTGATGGGTTATATGATGATCTTGAAGCTAATCTGAAAAAGAAACGAGATGGGGGAGTGGCTAAAGATGATTTTGAAGATGATCAATGGGGTAGTTGGGATGAAGAAGATGGTGGTGATAATAATAATAATATGAGTAATGAGAATGCTTATAGTGATATGCAGTTGAAATTGGAGTTACGGGATCGGGTCGATAATCTTTTTAAATTTTTTCATAAATTAACGAATTTGAAGGGTGGGAAGGGAAGGGTAAATTGGGAAAGTGATAATGATCCGTATTCGAGAAAGGGATTATTGTATAAACTTGTGACAAGAATACTGAGAAAAGATGATGTACCCGGTTTGGAGTATCATTCGTCTACTGTGGGTCGGCTTTTTAAAACCGGTTTTGGAAGGTTTGGTCTTGGACAGGTATGCCAATTCTCCTACTTTGTTTAATGGAATTGTTCATTCCATTCCAATGAAAAGAAGCTGATGGAATTGGAATGTAATTGTGCAGGCAAAACCAAGTCTCTCTGATCAAAATGTTATACTGGTTTTTGTTGTGGGAGGCATGAATGCCATTGAGGTTTGTATTCAACTACTCAATTGAAAGTCTATTTTGATCTCTTTTTGTGTATTTTTGATAATGTAACTAACAAGATTTTTGTTGTGTTGTGTTGTGTATGGATTATGGAAGGTGTTTGAAGTTCAGGAGGCTTTATTGGAAAGTGGGCGATTGGATATAGAAGTGGTTCTTGGTGGAACAACTTTTCTCACTCCTACAAACATGCTTGATTTACTTTTAGGTGACTCTAGTTACATTTGATGTAATATATTATCACAACATTTTTGTCATCTTTTGTTAAAGTAATAAATCTAATATACAAATATAAAAACGGTATTTCCAAGTTTTGTGATGTGCATGATGCTTTAAACGAATTGGCTTGGTAGTTTCATTTTGCTATTGCTGATTGGACTGGACTGAACATGTTTGCTAGGGCTATTTTCGAGTATGTATGAGAAGGGTATTTCTGTCTTTTACAAATCACATATCTTATTGGTACTTGTGTAAATTTCAATTGCTTAAAATGTTGGTGACACCGAAAGTGTTTTTTATCTAATGATCGCACAACTTGTATATGTTTCCTATAATTCCTTCAAATTTCCCATTATGATTTGGATATTTTGGTTTTTGACCCAGTTCAATGTATATCTTCAAAATCATTATATCAAGATCATAAAAGTTGAAGATGTTTTGTATATTTCGCATCAAAAGTATAAATTGATAAAAAGTTAAACATTTATTTGTTGGTAAAAAGTTAAACATTTGTGCATAAGTTAGTAAAGTGATGTTCAATCGAATGGGCGTCATGGTGGATTATTCTGTGTATTGAATCATATAATTTTCAATAAAAAAGTTGTAATTACAAACATATTTTTTATTCTTGTTTCGGGTACTTTGTCAGACGTAGATGATACTATGAACATGGTAAATGTGTATGCTCCTGTGGACTCTGATTATAGAACTAATATGTAGGTTTAGTTGCCTTAATTAAAAATGTATAGAGGTGAAATTTGAATTTCATGGGGAATTTCAATGAAGTAATGTGCAAGGAGGATAGATTTTTATCCATAGTTTGGTGATATAGTTGAAAAATTGGGATTAGTGCATATTGTTTGGTAATAAAGAGCGGGTGCTTCTTCATAAATTCAAAGTTGCCAAAAAAGTTGTTCGAGCATAGAGATATAGGAGGTGCAACTATTTGAAATTGAAGGAGATAATACTGGGAATACAATACAGGTTGATTCGAATGATTTGGAATTAGGCAATGAAGATAAATCAAATACTCAACTTGTGGGCACTGATACGTGCATGAACATGGGACCCTCTAACTATGTACCACCTGGTTGGTTTGGTCCATTCCCGTCCGCGGCTCCAAATCAAATTCCTAATGCCAGTGACATGAATATTGACCTGGCCCAGAACCTCACGAAAAAGGAGAAGATCTAGATCACTAGAATCCACAGAGGTCCCAAATCACAACTCTTTAGACCTTAACAGCGAACCACCCCCTGCACACTCCTTTGTTGACCCAGATGGTGATGAACCCTCCGATTTTCAGAACCTTAGTGAAATTGAAAAGACTTGCTTGATTGGAAGAGAAATTGGGTTCGAGGTCGATAAGGATAACCCCATTCTAGAAGAGATTTTGGGCGAGTCAGGTGAGTTAAACGTTATCCAATGAACATTATGACTTTAAATGTTCGCGGGCTGGGGGAAGATCGTAAAGAGGCGTGGGTTAGCATATTTGTCAGATCATAACTCTCGTTCATTGGTATTCAAGAGACTCAACTTGCGGATGCAGACAATATAAACGTGGCTAATTGCTGGGGTTCTGACCAATGGGATGCAGACAAAGTTCACGCAACTGGGAGATCTGGAGGCTTAATTAACATTTGGGATCCTCTTGTATTCACCTCAATTGATGTTATCAAATATCGATATTGTCTGATCAATATTGGTAATTGGGTTGGAATTGATAAACCTGTCATTCTTGCCAATATATACGGACCTCAGGCGATCCCGGAAAAGGAGAAACTGTGGGTTGATCTTCTAAACCTCATGGAAAGGAGAAAAGGAATATGGTTAATTTTGGGAGACTTTAATGCAGTTAGAAGAGCTGAGGAAAGGTTTAATTCAAACTTCTGTGCACACACTGCAATGGGATTCAACAGATTCCTACATGATGGGGGTTTGCACGATCTAAAAATGGGCGGACATAGGTTTACGTATTTTTGTCACGACGACCTAAAACTAAGTAAGCTCGACAGATTCTTGGTGTGCTCTGATTTCTTATCCATTTTTCCCAATGTTGTGGTCACAACCCTTCCTAGAGAGACTTCTGATCATTGTCCAGTTCTTTTATCGACTACATCACTTGACTTTGGCCCAACTCCATTCCGCTTTTTTAACTCATGGATGGATAGGGATGGCTTTCCGAATATTATGGCGAGTGCATGGCTCCATTTCCAAGGTTTTGACACTGCAGACTGTATGTTGGCTGCTAAACTCAAACATCTAAAGAATAAAATTAAGGAATGGAGGGCTACAGATCATCCAAAGGAGGTTGAAGAACTTAAATCGCTGAAGTCTAAGATGGTGGCTTTAGACCTCATAGCAGAATCCAGAGCTCTCACAACACCAGAAAAAGCAGACAGGAGAGACGTTTCAAGAAAATAATTGAACTGGAGAGATTTACTAGCCTCGATCTTAAGCAGAAGTCCAGAATCCGTTGGGCCACTGATGGTGATGAAAACTCGAGGTTCTTCCAGGGGTGGGTAAACAATAGGATCAGAAAGAATAATATCACGGGGATCATGATCAATAGGACATGGAGCACAAATCCAATTGAAATTAAAGCTGAAGCGCACCGATTTTTCCAAATTTTTTTTAAAGAAAAATGGCCACACAGACCCAAGTTTTCAAATCCCCTGTTTTCACGTATCTCTCAGGCTGTCAGGAACTACTTAGAAGAACCCATTTCTTTGGGCGAAATCAAGGATGCAGTATGGGCGTGTGGCAGTGAAAAGGCTCCTGGCCCTGATGGGTTTACGTTTAAATTTATCAAGGCATATTGGGATATTATGTTTGGGGACATCGCCCTTTTTGTCAAATATTTTGAAAGATTTGGAAGGCTCGATTCTTCTAGCAGCTCTTCTTTTATCTCTCTGATTCCAAAGACCAAAGATCCATTGCTTTTCAGTGATTTTCGACCAATCAGCTTGATTGGTTGTTTGTACAAAATCATCTCTACTATATTGGCATCTTGCCTCAAAAGGGTTATTGGGCATTGTATTGATGAAGTACAATCGGCATATGTGGAAGGCAGGTATATACTAGCCCCTTAATTGTGAATGAAGTATGTACCTAGGCAAAAAAAGGTCAAGAAAAAGATTTTGCTCTTCAAGGCTGACTTTGACAAAGCTTTTGACTCAGTAAATTGGAAATATTTAGACTCGATACTCATTCAAATGGGATTTGGAGAGAAGTGGAGGTTGTGGATCAGGGGGTGTATAAAGTCGGCTAGAGCATCTGTGCTTGTCAACGGTGTTCCAACCAAGGAGTTCTCAATGGAAAGGGGGGTGAGGCAAGGAGACCCCCTCTCACCATTTCTCTTTGTCATTGCCATGGAAGGACTTAATGTGGCATTGAAGACAACTTGTATCAAAGGTATCTTTAAGGGAGTTCAATTTCCCAATAATGGACCGGTGATATCTCATTTGTTGTACGCGGATGATGTACTCTTTTTAGGCGAATGGTCAGAGAGAAACATTCAAAACCTTGACCGAATTTTGAGGTGCTTTCATGTATCATCCGGCTTGAAAGTAAATTTCAACAAATCCAAAGTTTTTGGAATCGGTTCCTCAACATCAGAAGCTTCCCATTGGGCCTCCTCTTTAGGATGTGAACCTTCATGCCTACCTTTCACTTATCTAGGTGTACCTGTTGGAGCGAATATGAATCTGAAAAAAAAAATTGGAAGCCAATTATTGATAAGTTCCTGTCTAAGCTTACGTCCTGGAAATCCAAAAACCTTTCGTTTGCGGGGAGGCTCACTCTTATCATATCTGTCTTAGGTAATTTGCCTATATATTATCTCTCCCTCTTTGCTGCTCCTACGGGAATACTTAAACAATTGGAAAAAATTAGGAGGGCCTTCCTTTGGGGTGATTCAAATGACACTTCAAAAATCTGTTGGGTCTCTTGGGATAAGATTGCAGCAGCAAAGCACGATGGGGGTCTAGATGTGGGATCAATCAGGGCTCTAAACATAGCACTGATGGTAAAATGGTGGTGGCGATTAAGATCAGATCCATCTCTGCTTTGGTGTAGAGAATTGTCATGCATACATAACCTCCAATCCAAACCTGATGATCATTATGCGGATAATAGAATTGCAGGTGTATGGAAAACATAGCAGGGGCAAAAAAGGAATTTGGTGAAAGTTGGAATTCCTGTTTCCGATGTAATCTCAAAATCTGTCATTGGGGGGGATCATGGAGTGGAGGTGTAGAATTGCGCCTGACGGGCTTTACTCGGTACATTGTTTGAGGAGCAGAATTGACCAAAGTATCCCAACCAACATTTCGAAAATGGACTGGTTAAAAGAGGTTCCACCAAAAGTTTCATGTTTTGTGTGGAGGGCAAAACTAGGCAGATTTCCATCGGTTGTGGCGCTTCAAAAAAGGGGAGTTTGGTTGGACTCCATAGCTTGTACATACTGTAATCATGATGAGGAATGTGGGGATCACATACTGATTAAATGTCCATTTGCAAGAGAGGTGTGGGAATGGATCCTCAAATGGTGTGGTATAAATCACACGCCATTTCACACAATTGTGGAGGTTATTGACTTCGCTGCTGGATGGGGAAATTGTCCCAAGAAAAGGCGCATTCTTCAGGTTATCTGCTATGGAACCTTGTTGAGCATTTGGAAGGCGAGGAATGATCGACTCTTTAATAACCGGCGAACATCACAAGCGAAGGTAGCAGACATGATAAAATCTCTTGTTTTCACTTGGATCAATTTTCTGGGAACTTATGGTAGGACCTTGAATTGGAGCGAATGGTGCTCAGTTCCGTTGTTATGTATTTAAGCTTTCTTTCTTGTACTTCTTAACTTTGTACTACCCCGTCTCTAGCTACTTGCTAGAGGCGGTTTCTTTATTTATATACAGTGTTGCAAAAATCGGCCTACTCGGCCGAGTACTCGGCCGATTACTCGGAATCGGCCCTCCACCGAGGGGAGTAATGTGAACTCGGCAAAACAACTCGGATTAAGTCAAAATCGATTAAAAATCAGTCAAAATTGGTCAAAAATCGGTCAACATCTCTCTAACTCGGGCCTACTCGGTATTACTCGGTCTTACTCGGGCCTACTCGGTCAAACTCGGCCACTCGTCAAATCGGTCAAACTCGGTCAAAGGGTCAAAATTGTCATAAAAAGAGAAAAAATCAAGAATTCCAAGATTAATATGTATAATACACTTAATGATTTATTATTTAACACACACATGTGATTATTACTACATATATATCTTAAATTTTCAGTAATTATTTATGAAGTGAGACATTTGTGTGTATTTCTGTTTTTATGTATTCACATGTATCTAATTTTGTTATATATTTAAATCAAATTATGATTTTAACTTATGATTTTGACATATATAATTTTCCTAAAAATATTTCTACATGAATTACCGAATCCGAGTACTCCCCGAGTACTCGCTACTCCCCAGTCGGCCAAGCAGGTACCGAGTAGCGAGTTCTACAACCTTGTTTATATATATATATATATATATATATATATATATATATATATATTTGCCGGTTCCAAAAAAAAGAGCATAGAGATATGACTGTAAAAGTAGGGAGATGTTAATGAGAGGAAAAGGAAAGAAAGGTGATGATGGTTGAAATGAGGCCCTTATCGACAATAATGGAAGAAAAGGCCTATGGATATTGAATCCATGAATTGGATATTAAACAAAAGTAAGGATTTGATGGGATATAGAGGGAGAAGAAAACACTTGCTTTTTTTCACTGTGTTATAAATGGGAATTAAAAAGATGTAGAATACATGGTTTGACTATTGTCGTGGTACTTGGGTTACTGATCCGATCAAAATCAAGGAGGTAATTTGGAACTTTTTCTCTTTGATGAATGCAAATTTTGAAAGGCCAAAGCTAATAAATCTTCGCTTTCGTATAATCTCAAAGGAAGATGAGATTTTTCTTGAAAAATCATTCTCTCAAAAAGATATTAAGAAGGGCGATCGGTGTTGTTGTGACAAAAAAACACCACGTCTGGATGGGTTCATTTTTAAAATTTTAAAAGAATTTTAGGAGCTTGTAAAAGTCAATTTCTTTGCATTTTTTTTAAAGAATTTGAGCTCATGGGTAAGTTAAATAATGGGTATAATGCCGCCTTTATTATGTTAATTCCCAAAA